GACTACTCTTTTGAATAACAAATATTGCAGTAAATATTCTAAGGGACATTCTTATTTCAATGTTTATCGTATACCGACTAGAATGTACGTTTCAAATTGCATCAACGAGATGTCATGCTTTCGTGAATCATATATCTCAAGAACGTGCAAAAAAAAGCGAATCAAAAATTTATTTCGAAGAAAATGTTTGCAGATGCAAGGTACGAATTGGGTGCTTGTGACGGTGCTCATCGGTGTTTTTGTTGTTGTCACAGTTTCATCAGATCGCGAGCACGAAGCACACGGTGCAACTAGTGCTAAGTTCCGCGTAGATCACGAGGCGAAAGGTCAACATAATCCACATGCTGATCACAAAGCCGTTCTTGGTATTAATGCATTCACTTATTTGTCTTCAGCCAGTCTCAATGAGATTCTTCAACGGGAACTTATTGACAGACACATCCGAAAGCAGTGTTCTTTGTCAATGAAGTTTGAGCCGATGTAAAGGCAGTTCTTCTCAAGCTATGCCTCTTTGTGGCCATAGGGCAAACGATTAAGAGTCCATGTAACCGCACTTCCTCCTTTCTCTAATAATCTATTAGTTTGTAGCAGCACTCAATAAATCGATCCATTCATCAAAAAGAATGCATACGAATCAATTTCCCATGATCAAATAAGCTTTTTGGAACGTAATTTACAAATTATGGGGGAATGAATCGATGATTGATCTTCTCAATTCCCCACTTTCTCCTTATCCCGTCATAACAGAAACGGTTTTGCGAAGTTTAGACATTCCACTCTGAACGTAAATTGGGTATGTAATCAAAAAGACTGTCAGGAATAACATTAAGGGTCGAAAAAGTCGGCCGATGAGTTCGACGATTTGCCGGCCGAGGAGTCAAAACGTCGGTTGGGCATAATCGCACTTCGTATGGACAAGAATGGAGATGGATTTGTGGATTCAGATGAGCTTACTGATTGGATTCATAAGTCAGTTGTGAATCAGACTCAAATTGGTTACATTCGCTCTTTTTACGGAACAGGCAACGAGAATTTGCACTGTGAACATACCTAACTGAAAAGATTTCCTTTCAGCAATGAATAATTAGAAATTCCATTCATGTGTAAGTCCAAAGTGAACTGAATCGAATGTTGGGAGCGAGTCATTTCGAATTAGATGTGTGGACATATAGCGTTTCAAAAGTAGTGCATCATTCATATTTGACTTGAATGTGAGCAGATTGTGTTTGGTTGAAGAGAGTGTTATTGTTTTGTATGATATTTTTTGGTCGATGATTTCGTTGGATAGAGAAGAAACCACAGAACGATTCACTGAGATGGATGTGAACAGAGATGGCTTTGTTACGTGGGACGAATATCTTACCGAGGCATTCGGCGACGGTGAATTACCTCTTGAGGTGCAGTAGACTGATTCTGTATTATCGTGTCAAATCCAAACATAAATCACCTTCTGATGACTCGTATTTCGAAAAATGCATTTCATCACTATTCAATTCGTTGATCAGTGCAATTTGTTCGTTTATGAAACTGCGGATAGGTTAGACCGATCTGGTGGAGCTATCTTGCAAAAGACTGCAAAATGTATGCATTACTCAAAAATTTTGGATAGTTCATCATATCAGCCAAATTTAAAGATTGGCTAGGCATCTTACAGACATTTGAGTGAATGTTGTTCCAGTGCTGTTATGAATGATTGTACGAAGCTTTCTGATGGTGGTTAAAAATTGAAGGAGCTGGATGCAGATGATAAAAAGTTAATGGAAGAAGATCGACGATATTTTATGAGTGCAGATTTGGATCACGACGATCGTCTTTCAACCGAAGAGTTCGATGCGTTCCAAAATCCAGAGCACTATCCTCATATGCACAAGACACTTATCGAAGTTTGATTATCGACTTTATGACATTTAATCATAGTTATGAACTTACTGATTTGATTCAGTGATCAACTAGCTATACTTTGATACTGTTACGTACGTGAATTAATGTAGCGTTTGTTTATAGATGACAATGCTCGAAAAGGATCGAAATTCGGATGGTAAAATCGATTTGAAGGAGTTTTTGGGCGATATAAGTGACAACGTTGAATCAGAATGGTACACGGTGGAGAAAAGTCGTTTCGAAGATGAATACGATGTTGACAAGAATCTATTCCTCGAGGGTGATGAAATCACAAAATGGTTGATACCAAATTTGGAAGAAACTGCACGACAGGTATTACATGTGGATAGTCACATGATTGATAATTGTTCAGCGAGAATGAACTTTTTCTAGACTTGATTGACATTTCGACTCGTTTATTTTCTTTTTTTTTTAGGATCGCCTTATAGATGATTTCCCGGAGAATAGATGCAGTATCGATCTTTTTTTGTTATTGATAGAAACATGAGTTTTTGTAGAATTGGAGATGAAATACGTACTTCTTTCATTTGATGTAATTTTAGGAAGCTGATCACCTTATAAGCAGTGCTGATAAAGACGATGATGGACGATTGACGATTGATGAGATCGTCAATGAGCATGCATTATTTGTTGGTTCTGAGGCGACAAACTTCGGTGAACGACTCACTGACATGTCGCATGAAGAATTATGAAAGCAACTCTTCTAGTTGTCACATATTTGTTCAAGTATCTACGTGCAACAGAAACACTCAACCAAAATCGAAGTTGCATCAAATCCGTCCCGAAGAAGAGTTTTGCAGCCAGTCACCGAACTCATAGTGACAACGCTGTTGTTTGTTATTTGTTTTAGTTATACGTATCATGTTGCTGCAATCTGTGTTGTGTGCAAGTTGCTCGTAAGCGATAAGATCACACTGTGTGCAATACATGTATATCCATGCCGTCTACCGATACAGCTTGTTTCTGATGAATTATTAGTTTGTTCATAATAATTTTCATGATTTTCATCAACTGAAACTCTGTACAGTAAGTGTTTTTGATGATTGCTCATTTGAAGAATACTTTGTTTAGTCTCTGATTTGATGTGTTTCAACCGATCTACGCATTTATTCGTTCATTCGTTTTATCATTTTGTAGTTAATGAGGATGCATTTCGCAGTCAGTTTCTATTTGTAAAATAGTGGTGTGTAAGCAACTAGCATTTAACTGCACCTCATTCGAGATCGTATCTGATTTGCATTCATTCATCCTGCCGTACACATGCGATCGATTATTTCTATTTCAACTGAGCGTTTTGGTTCGTTTCAATTTGTCACTCATTTGTTGCGTTTCGTTTGTACATTCTTTTTCTCAATAGCTCTCAGTGAATGCTTTAATGAGTTGCCGTTATGTTTTTATGAACAATTTATTTGATTCTGGCATTTAATAACAGATATCGTTGTCTGAAGTGGTGAATGATGTGCATCGTAGTTTACTTCGATCTGTTTGCACCTCGAAAAGGTTCATATCTTAAGGAAAACTCGGTTGGTAGTGATGTTCAGCGTTACGGCCTTACAGCAGCGGGATGGGGACGCTGCTAGCTTCACGAACATAATGGCTACATTAAGGCTGACCGATACAAGATTACTTCATTTGACGGTTCAACCGGCTTTTCTGTCCAGAACTAGACAACTGAATTGAAAATCCTCATTTGTGTAGTGGGGAAAACTTTTAACTTTCAGTTACTGCTTTTGTAAAATTTTCTTTAAATGACAAGCACTGGGTGAATTATGGATGGCACATAAATACAAAGCATTTTATATCAAGAATATCACAGCTTGTGCGCAACCAAAATGACAATCATAAACAAATACACACGAAATTCCACAGACATTCTTTTATGTACGCAGCTCGTTCCGAAACGAGTACGAGTAGAAAATTTATTTGCACGTTGTATGGCATACGCCTGAATAAATGCCACAGCTCTAGATCTGCAACTAAGAGCATTGTTTAGTGAGCGCTGCGATCATGGTACAAATTGCATTCCGAACTACTGCTAAATTGCTTGCATAAATGGACATTGCTATCACCAAGTTTTTCATTCGCTTCACTAAACAAATAATTCATCATATCATCACCAAGTCAAAGCAGTGCTATCATCTGTTGCAATCCATTACCGATAACCCTTTCGTTCCGACAATTACAAGCTCAAATCGTTGCTAAATATGGAAAGATGTATCCAAGTTTTACAAATACGTACGAGTACACATATATACATGTACCAAACGTCACTTGCAAAAGTCAAAAACAGTTTTGAACGAAGCCGAACATGATAACAATAACAATTGTAAACTTGATGCGTCTAGACTACCTTATGAAACAGCTTACAGTGAAACTTTACGTAAATATTGACGGTCTGTTTGGCGCACTATGCCAGTACTACTTGTCAAAGCAATTCTGTGTGATATGCGCTAAAGAGCTAATATCGAATGAAACATAACATGAAGTGCTTCTGAAGAGGAGGAAATCATGGTTGAATAAGACTGTTATAAATATAACTGAAAGAGCAAGTGGTTATAGGGGTACTTAATTGGATTCGAATTCACAAGTCAATAAAAGTGAATAATCATTATTACTTTACTCACAACCATTCTTCAGTCAACACCTGAGAAGATTTCAGAATTTTCGATTGCAACCGTAAGCTTTTCACGTAACTCGTGGAAACTTCCATACGGTGGTAAATCCATTCGATTGAAACTGCAATAAAAATTGCTGTAATAAAATGAAAGAACTGAACACTCGAGCACCATACACGTATAATTAAAACAGACCATGTATGTGCTCTAGGTAGCATATCCGGATTACCCCACTTCTCAATAGTGAACTTTTGTGGCCCATTCGAACCGTACAACTCTCGGAAGCCGTTCATTGGTACACGTGATGTTCCAGTGACGAATTGCAATACACGAGCACGCATTTCGTTGTCGAACGACAGAATACACTTCCAGAAGTTATGAATCACCTCAAATTTTATCTTATTGAAGCAGTGTCACTAAGAAACATTCCGCTAGGAAGAAACGAACTCACCGCGTGATTGGGTGCATAACCTCCTTTGTAGAGTGTGTTATCTTTCCAGTCTTTCACATCGATTTTTTGCAGTCCGCACACTAACAACTCCAATTCATTTGGATCGAATATAGAGAGCAGATTCGAAGGTATCAATTCATGTACACCTTTCATTAATGCCTTCATTTGCGCTTCAACACGACTAACGAATCGCCATTTAATCACCAAATCAATATATTCATCTTTATTTTCTTCGGTCACCTTCTCCTTCTCTCCACCCTCACGCAGTTCAACTGTTTGTGTCTGTAAGGGTATTTGATATTATGTAATTAGGATTGAATTCCAGTCAAATTATTTACCTGTCCATAAAACTGTTCATCAACAGCAAAATATAAATCCAAATCTTCCGGATCATTGTCTTTGATATAAATCAATGAATTAAAATATTCATTATCTACAGACTCCATATCATTCAGTGTTATTGGCTTGCCAAGCATCATTTTATAAAATGGTCGGATGAAGAAGGCTGTAAAGGACATTCTCAGTTACTAATATTATCCCTTCTGAACAATTCACATTCATGATTGGAAACTTGACAATGCTAAATGCTTCTTCTCATTGAAGTGTCTTGCCTTCATATAGCAACAACATTTGATTATTAAAGCGTTTTAAATGCATCTAGAATGCGTCTAATACCAACCACACCTTCACTAATACCTTTCAAATTCTTTTAGGAACTATCAAAAAAAAACTTTAAAACAACAGTACCGTCTAGGAGTTTGCCGTGGAAAATGGCGATTCCGATAACACGTCCAATGAAATGAAAATAAGAAATATGCTCCGGATTACACGTTTCTGAGTGGGGATTAATTTGTAAAGTGTAATTATCACTGAAATAATAAAAATATAATGAAACGCATTTTTGAAGCTAAACGAGAAATTAAATGAAAAAAACATGGCAGCTTAAAATATGGACAATATTGAGAAAAGTATCTTACGTGGCGGAATATTCGAAAAGACCATAATAAGGATTAAATATGTGATGCGAAAGTAAATAAAACCACTCGCGTGCCACACCCCCGTAATCGAGACCCGTTTCACCATCGAATTCTATCCAAAGTTTTGCTCGTAACTGACTGGCCGATAACTGCATTATCTGCCTAAAAAACAACACAACTGAAACGATCACAAACATACACAAACCCTTGCAGAACAATGAAGGCAACAACAAATTTCTCGTTTCAAAACAGACAAAGCTAACGTTCACGGATCATCATATTAATACACAACAGTTGATTTGAAAATAAGACAGACCTGTAGGAGTCCTCAAAAAGATGTGTTCTGCGTACATTGAGTTCACATTTTGAATTGCCGGAGGATTTTGGAAGGTGTAGCCTGAGATATTCATATTTGCATTTATAATCTCGAGAATATGGCACTGCCGGGCCAGCGATACTTGCATTCTCAAAACGAGGATCCTCCCATTGAGTTCGACGAGTGTTGTGATCAATGAAGAAAACACGTCCATCTGTGTGCACACGTTCCTCCCAGCCAGCTGGCAATTCACCCAACTCATCACTACTCCGGCCTTCAAAAGAATATTCTTATTCGGTATCGTTTGCATGATCACTCTCATTTGTTACAAACCCGTTCATGCTTTCGCATATCTTCACAAACGCATCATCTATCATTCTTAAAAAGCAATGCACATCTGCACATACACCTTTGTCTGTAGCTTTATCTCAATTCCTATCAAATTGTAACCATTGCAAATATTTAGCTTATATATCTAACATATCAACGGCGTTTATTCATCGTTCCTTTGCTTATCCCCAACCCATCGTTTCCTATATTCTTGTGCTTACTTTAAGTTACGTCACGCCTTCATGTTTCAATGCACAATTCAAAAAAATATCCTTCACCCATCAATTTCGAACATATCTCATCGTTTGAACAGACCCACTATTTTCACCATGTTCAACCTTTTACCGTAACTATAGATGTTGTTATTATGGTCATAACTAGCATCAGTTTCATTCCGAAGTATTACTGCACTGTCCATTCTCAGAGCTTTTAATTATACCACTAGACACACGTCATCATGCCCACAAAAGTCTGATACAAACCAATTGTGGTGAGTGCAGAGACACGTCCATTTCGGGGGTCAGTCCAAGTTGTTGTCTTGTTTATGTGGTCAATAAAAAATTTACGTCCATTCGGCGCCACTTGCATATCCCATCCTCTTGGTAATGGGCCGACACCATCATCCACTGAATCTTCAACATGACCCTCACCAGCGAAATTCATACGAAGACCCGCATCTAACTGAACTTTCATTGAATTCTGAGCAACGCATTATCGATGCAACGTTATCTTACAGATGTGAGCGCAAATTGTAAACTATATTGAGTGGCTGAATAAAATCAAGACCTCAGCCATATTGATTTGTAAGTTCATATCTGATGAAGCCTGCCAACGACTGTCATAGTTTCGTCGTCGATCCACATCCTCACGTTCACTTTCAATTATTGCTGCATCCGTACTGAAGTTTAAGTAGAATTCAGTAATTATCTAATATAACTACTAGAGAAGAGTAACTAGTAATACTTTACAACAACAAACACATCTTTATTTCCGTGAACGATCACTTTCTCAAAAATCAGTCTGACATGCTAAATTCAGAGTAAAAAACAGCTGATCAAATCATTGTGCAACAAGTTTCAGACTTCTTCTAAACGAATATGCTACCTCATTCAATCAGATATGCTGAATTCGAATCTGCGATTAAATTTTCTCCATAATGGACCTTTTTTTGCAAATGAATAATGTCCAAGACATGAAAATAGCCAAAAGAAAAGAATTTCGTTGGTCAAAAAAGTGGACTTTTAATTTGCACGCAATATGTTGCCTATATGCAGTGTGAGATGCTAAATCCGAACCTGCAATCTATCACTCATCAATCTTGCACAAAAAGCGCCTATGCATCAGTTTGTTTTAGACTAATCCATTGTGTTCGCCAACTTAGAAACACGCAAGCGAAACGATTAATGAAAACGAGTGTAGAAGCGTCAGGAACAAGAGCAGATAAAACAAAGAAAGCAAAAGCAAACGATGTTTTTAATATAGGCAGACATGAGGTTACGGATGCCAGGGGAAGGGAAGGGAAGGGAAGGGAAGGGAAGGGGAGGGGCATTGTGCGTCTCGAAAAACTTTTCTTAAATAGTACCAAAACGGTGCGTAGTGGAGATGAACAGGACAGTTTCGGATTCTACGTGCAAATTTGCCTGAAAAAGCGATGCTTTGTCCTTTGTCAAATAGTTACTGTAAAGACAGAGAAACTGCAAAAAAAAAAAACAGACCACCTTCATGCAAATCGAAACTCTTTAATCGTCAAGAAAAAATAGAGCTAATTCTGCAATCTAAATGTAAAACTGCGACTAGAAGATCGCTTTCTCATCTTTGTATAATTTTCACGGTTGTATAATGTTATTCAACTGAAAAAAAAGTGTCGAGAAAATTTACGTAAGTGTAGGACGTTCCCATTGTGTAGTCTGTGCATTATGGTTCAAATAGAACGTTCTGCCATTAGCGTCCTGTCGTTCTTCCCAACCTGGAGAAATGAATCAATCGTTAACATCCTTCTGTAAAGATCCAAATAAAAATACCCGGCGGAAGTGGTGAAGAAGGTTGTGCTTGCTCGGCTTGCACTGTTTGTTGTTGTTGTTGCGTGCACGACGAATTCGATTCACCGGTGCTAGTGTTTAGTAATTCCCAGTCATCACCACCGGATGATGAACTCTCGGATGGAGATGATCCATGATTAGTGCTAATCCACGACAACGACAGGAACACACTGCCGTAAACTCGTGAACGTGCTGATCTCGGTCTCAGCACATAACTCTCCTCTGCTATTGGTAGGCCACTTCGCTCACGTGTTATATTTGCATGTGACAGTTGAATTTCAATCATTCCAAGAAAATCATCGCGAGTCTTAAAGCGATTAGCAATATTACTGCCCTGTCTGGAATTGAGCATTTGAAAACATTATAAACATTTTTTTTCGCTAAAAGTAAAAATAACTAAACAACACTTATAATAATATGACTGATAACGGAACACCAACAATTCGATTTTCGTCGAAAATTTTGACCGATAAGAGACAGTCGCGACGTGTAACACGAAAGATGAATTCTTCATTCCATATCGGATATCGCGTCTAAATTTTTTGGAAATATTTCATTGATCCAATAACAATATTAGTGCAATTAATCGATATACAAAAACCAGTGTGAAACCAACGCAAAAAATCAATAGTGACAACGCCAACGGCGCTAATTTTATGACGACATAAACATTTTTGATAACACGATTTCTAAGCGACCAAAATGCTGAAAAATAATAGAGGGGCCTTCTGTTGCATATGAAAGATCGGTTGTAAAAGAAGATAAGGCATGAAACGTGAACCTTCTTGATTGTTTTCGTTTGTGCTTTATCCACAACAACACCCTTACGATGCAGTGTTACGACCGCATACGGATCACTAACTCCGAATATATCTTTCTTCATTAATTCTACACCGCGAGATACTTTCACTCGTAAAAGCTCGGCATTCTAAATTTTAAACAATCACATTTATCCACTTCGTTATTTCGATGCTTGTCTACTCAGAAGATTTAACTTCACTTCATAATCATGTTGAAACATGAAAATGAACAACAAAATTGAGAAAAGCGATGTAATGAATACATACATTTTCACTTTTGGGTATCCCATAAATGTGCGGGTCTGGCTCTGCAAGTGACATTTATCTGAAACAAAAACAATTTCAAAGAACAGCACATTTGCTGTTAATTGAGATGACGTGTGTCTTCGACCACAGTAATACACAGTACATGAAATCGGCACATTCCATCAATTAACGTGTTACAAACAAGAGCAATGAGCAGCGATTAAGAATACCGAACAGCGAGGTCAACAAAGCGACAGAAAGCTTTAAGAAGCAAGCGGTATGAATTATGAAAATTAAGTTGACCAATGTAGCAAACGAAACGGATATTGAACAGTACTTCATTTTCAACTGAAAAATAAGAATGATAATCTTATCGAAAAGCATAGATGCTTCACGACAAGTTAAGACCAAATAGAATGGAAAAGAGATGAGAGTAGCGCACATGGTTGTTTTTAAATCAACAATCATTTCAAATTCAAAAAAAAACAACCGAAATTCCACGATTATAAGATTTCATCTAGGAGAAAATCGACGACAAAAACGGGACAGCAGATACTATCGATTACGAAAATATCCTCTCAAACAAGTAACGTCTTAGAATATTAAGATTTGTAGCCTACGTTGCTAAATTGTGGTGAAATAACCCATCTGCAGCGAAATGATACCTCATATATATCACCATAAACCAACACGGTTTAACAGCGTTCCAGATATGTGGCAGTGATGGCCATAAAGCTGGTTGAGATCAAACAGTTGGTCGGGTGCGGACTATCTTTATCAGATTCAGGCTTTGGATCGTCAAATTCATAGACACGTGGATTTAGGTTCACGCTCAGGCCTAGGGTGAGCTAAATTAGCCCGAGTAATTTTACAAATTGCGGCCATTGTTTAGTTACACCTTACCGAAGCCAGTGCAAGCGAACGACTTCTGATTTTTTCGATAAGGTATAACCATAGAAACTCGGAGGTGTTTAAAAATCAAAATTGGATAATTTTGTATTTAACGTGTCTATGAAAGGAAGCTGGGCTACACAAAACCTTAAACTTAGATGAACCCCTGTTCTTGACTAAGACTTAGCACGTGGCCTAGCTTGGTCACCTCGGGTTTACCTTTTAGTCTAAGCTGCGGAGCTGAGGCTCATCAAGAGATTACGCAAAGGCTTGTAGCTCCATACCGTTTTTATACGTTAGCGACAAAAACGCATTGAGCAGTTGGTAATTACCTGGATTNGGCCAGGCTATCAAACGTTTATAACGTTGCTGGCCACAATGCTCATGTTTCCGTGCACATTGTTTTAGCCTCAATTTACGCCACCCCGCTGGCTAGGCGAGCAGGCCAACCGAACAAAACCGAGTAAATAATTATTCACCGTGAATACTTTGCATAATTAAACGCAGCCAAATACCAATTCAATAAATAATCATTACTCTAATAAAATAAATATTCCGCCGATCGCTTACCGCGATCGACGAAACAACCACTCGATGTCCAAGTAATAATTAATAAGTTGGTAATAATGATGCGAAACAATAAAAATGATGTAATTTCAAGGAGGGTGATGCGTTATATGTGATGAGTGAAAAAGAGGAGGATGAATGGAGTGTGGATGAACTCATTGAAGAAAAACATCCAAAAGCGGAAAAATCAGTGAAAACAATGTCGAAATTATTCTTTATGGTTCTTTCATTCTATACGTTGTCAATAGGACTTACTTTTTATCAAAAAAGGTTCATCAAGGTTCTTTTTGATTCAATTAATTTTTTGTTATTCCATTTTATTCGTTTTTAATTTCATTGAGGCACTTATAATGATTTCTGCTGATCAAATAAGCAGTTTTATCAAGCCATTTGTGAATCGTTTTCATACTGATTTGGTCAGTAGAGTATTGTTCATGGTTTGGATGTGTCTTAAAAGCTCATAATTGAGAACAAGTAACTAATTGGTTGAGTAAACAAATGCTCATTGATATTTATGTATTAAGACGTATAAACTGCCGCTGCTAGTTGTAACATGTCATTATGTGATCAAATATGCCATAGCATTCTTCTCGCGTTGTTTATTGGAGTATAGAAATGGTAAACGAGTACGGATCGCTCTAAAGGATCAGTTGAAATGGCTGGTACCGATCGGTGTTTGTGCTTCGTTTGATATTGGTACGGACATTTTTAGTCTTCAGTTATTTGTTATGCTAATGATTATTACTATGTAGGCTACTCTTTAAAAATCTTTTGCTCTGTTAACAGTTTTCGCACAGTTATAATGTTGATGCTCGTGATACTTACTATTACTGATGTTAAGCGAAAAAATTTGACAATCTCAAATGATTAGGAGAAGTGAATTGTAATGAATATTTGTGTAAGTGTCGTTGTTTTTAGGTTTTATTTTAATTAGCTTAAAATTCTGAGGAAGGTTATAACATAGGAAGGTTATGAATTCATTTGATGAAAGAATTCATTTCATGCATTAACATTTCAAATGAATTTTGGTTTTGAATTAAAGAATAAATGCTACAGAATATTACTTGAAGGTTTATCAAATTGGGCACTTGAATATGTAACGGTGAGTTTATATACGATGGCTAAATCGAGTAGTATATTGTTCATTGTCGCTTTTGCGCTCTTTTTACGTCTGGAACGATGGCGGACAAGTCTTGGTATAGCTGCCGTTCTGATTGCATCGGGTCTTTTTCTTTTCACGTGGAGGTAATTGATTTATTTATCTCTCTGTTTATGGCATGCATGGAATTTATTGATTTGGGCATGATAATGAATAAAATAGATCAGCTGAACTGGATGTTCGAGGTTTATTACTGGTTGAATTGGCTGCTGCGTGTACAGGTGTCCGATGGACTGTGTCACAGTTTGTGATGCAGAGTGAACAGAAGTGTTCATTGAAACATCCGTTGGACATGGTTACGCACGTACAGCCTTGGATGATTGTTGCCATACTTCCGCTTGTTTTTCTCTTTGAAGGTTGTTCCTTTTGATTTCGATTTTATATCTCGTTGTTGTTTTTGGTGGTGACGAGCAACGAGTCGAGTAAACATTGAGTGAATTTTACACATTTTTCGATAAATTTAAAATGATACCCTTCTGTTAAAATAGCAAACCAGTTTGTTCGAAACAGAGTGTGTGTGCGAATCGTTTGAACAATGAATGATTTTAACAGGTTCCGAGCTGTCGTTTGAAAAAGTTTTTTTCTATGGTACGATGTTTGCACCATTTCAAATTCTGCTGCTTATTTTGTTCGGTGGATTTCTCGCTTTTGCACTGGAAATAGCCGGTACGATTACATTTAGAACTACATCTGTTTGCTTGCATTTTTAATTTGTTTCTTTACCCTGAGCACAGTTTGTTTCGTCGATTCTAGATGCAGGTTCTAGGTACGATTCGACCAAATTCTTGCATTTTATGTGTGAACGAGAATTGTTTGTAATCATTATTGCAATACTTCTGTAATTGATCTCTCAATGCTGAGTGTCATCATTTGATGCATTAAATTAATTCTGTTTTAGAATATCTTTTATTGCTTCATACTTCTGGAATTACTCTAAATATATTTGGGATCATAAAGGTTTCTCTTCTGTTTAATTTATTCATGATTTGCATTGCATATTCGTTTATAGTATTTCAAATATATAATATCTACGTTGTTAGTTTGCATCAAATTTTGATAAATTAACTTATTGGTGGTTAGTGATGAATGCGATTATTTCAATGATATTTCAGGAGGTTATTACGCTGTCGTTGGCTCATTTCGTCAACGGGGACCGTCTTACGCCAGTGAGAATTTTCTTCCTTAATTCTGAAATTGGAACATTGTTTCATTCTTGTGAAGTGGAACATTGTTTGGAGAGCATTCAGTGTATTTCTAGGCAAAATGCAATATAATGGTTGTGCGATGAGTTATTATATGCTAATTTCAGGTAAATGTATTGGGTCTATTGTTATGTTTCTCAGGAATGGCTTTACATGCTTTATCAAAGCATCGCAAGCAGACATCACGAACTGTCAGCATTGCGCCTACGATCAGTGAATCGAATGATACCAAATATCTTTTGAATGATAGTGACACGTGATTAATATCATCTTTCCTAGACGGCTTTCATATTTTTGTCAGTCAGAATCATGTTTACCTGATCAAAATCTTAAAGACCAGTTGCAGTGAGCAATCTTACATTCAGAATTCGTTCGTCAACTTTACGTTCCATTTGCAACAAAAGCTTACTTTATTCAGATTGATTTTATTCTCTGCAGTTGTTTTTGTCTGGTTCATTCAATCTAAATTCACTTTACATCATTCCAGTACTTGAGTTGTGGTAAGTTACTCCTATACGATAAAAAATCTTGAGCTCAAGTCTCGGAAAGTGAGACTCATTCGAAGATTCATCTCATGAATTGTTGAAGATGAGGAAGGCGGGTACAATTGAATCGCTGTTGCTATTTTGATGCTGCCTAAGCCATATTTGTTGATTATGAATCGTGCAAGTGTTGTTGTGATCATTATTCTGGTTGATCATCACTGTGCTATTTGCATTGTTGTATGCCTCCTCTCCCTATCAGGTTGTGATTCATTTGCTCTGCTGTTCATTGATTACGTTTAATGTTCATCATTAATATTCCTCATCACTCATATCCATTACTTCTTGTTGTCCTGTGATTTTTTAACTTTTTCAATGATTAATTTGTTTTCATATCTCTTGGTCAATTGCTGGAAAAAGATGCATTGATTCATACAATTGTGTCTATATAAATGATTGATCCATTTGTGAATGAAATTAAGAATTTATATGAGTTAGTGTCCAATGGAACTGAAATTTTGTTAGTTTGCATGAGTTTCTTCATACTTTGAATATTTTCATCGCCATTTGTGCTAATTTATTTATTCTTTATTCAAGTTAAGTTATTTCAGCCGCGCTTGAAATCGTCTTATTTCATTCTGTAATCTGCACATTTGTTCCTTATTCAGTTGTTTGTGATTTCATAAAGAGTCTTCTTTTGTTGTGATTTCATGATCCATTTGCATTGTGAATTCCTTGAATTATTTATCTTTTTATTGACTCATTTTTGAACTCTATCGAAAGTTTTCTTCTTTCCGATTTCATAAGGGTAATTATTTTTTGTTGCACTAGTTTTAGTCGTTATTGCATCGATTTTTTTTCTGACAGAAGCATTTTTCTGCATCTAATTGAACTATTTTTTGCATATAATTGACGAACTTTCTCCGTCGGCTTGAGCTCAAAAAAGTATCCAAGGTTTCAAAGATGATTTCGCTGTTCTTATAAATTCTCGTAGATGAGTCAAGATTGTTTGTGCAATGTTTTTGTTATATTCGTTATAACAAGGTTATTAATACGGATGTGTTCAACATCATTATTCTATATTTATAAAAGTTATTCGTGGTGTTGATTCAAATTGAGCGTTTTTTTTTCATTAGGCTGTGGACATAATTTAACAGACTCGTAGTCTGTCCTTCGACAGTGGCCAGTTTTCGTACTGCAGAGAGCAATTTCTTTGTGGTGAGTATAATCTGACTATTTCTTAATTTTTAAAAAAACGGGGAAGGACGGGTACGTTCACATCAACAAGTAGTTTTCCTTTATGATATAAATTGAACGTTCCTTTGAGATTTCATACGTATAGGACGAATGTCGTTTGAGTGTTTCGTATGATTTGGTTAATTTTTATTGCATCTGTTTAACTGACGGATAAATTATCAATTTAAGGTTTCAAATAATGTGGATAGAATGTGCAAAACCAGTTATTTAAACTGTAAATCTTTTTGGATTTTGAATCTATGAATAATTGGTTTTGTTATTAACCCTCACACGACTGAAATTTTTGTATAGCATCGAAGATAAACCGGCCCTCTCAAGCCCGCTCCTCACTGTGTTCTCGTAATACGAGATTTTTTAAATGAAATTTAAACACATGATGATGTTTGTGAATGCTTTTATAAAGCTTAGAATGAAAATAAACAAAAAATTATTCCGTCACCAAGCTTCTGGGTGGTCATGAAGCGCAAAGCGGACCAGATAAGATTTAGTTCTGCAATCAGGTGCTCTTAAGATGTGCGCGAGTTTTTGGTTTTAACTGTGTTTTTTGCTGTGTTCGTTTACTTATATCTGCTAAGTGATCTCAGGTGATGAAAGCAGTGAATGCTTATTCGAAGACAGCGATAAAGATAATACTGGTGAAGATGACGGCTATGTTTGATCGGTGAATTGAGTGGGATTCTAGTTGATCTGGAAGAACACATTGATTATGAGCTAGTTGAAATACAGTTCAAGACGTAACTGGTGCGTGCAAGTGCTATAAATTCATGCAGTTAGAAATCAAACAATGACGCAGAAGCATGTTCAATGTCTGGTCGGAGAGGGAAGGGCACGTGACGTGATCAAGGAAAAAATTGGCTGAACAAGTTTTGCAGTTCGCAATATTGACGCCATTGGACCGGCTTTTTAAAACTTTTGTTTACTACATTCGTGAAATTATTTTGGAACGACCGAATGAAGAAGGATATGAAATGCCGAAAAGAGATCGGGCACCAGTGAATGTTNTTCTCACTGATGTGTAAAGTGGAACGGAGAGTTGCTCTCACAACTGCAGAATGCAAGCGACGGCCGCGACATTTTCAACAAACTCTTTTCGAGAGATCCGCTTACAAATTATTACTTTCACGTGTTGATTCGTTCCCTCAAAAAAAGTTTGAGGTAAATAAATGTGGAAATAATTGACTGATAATAAAACTAACTGACTGTCTTTTCTATTGCTTTGTTTTTTTTTTATTCCCATCGCCCAGTCATGAATGACTTGAGAAACCAGAATCACTTTTCACAGTTCGCATTACACAAATAAATTGCAACATGGGATTTTTGTGAGGCATTGTGTTCTTCACTATTTCATAATGCGTGCATTTCTTTTGTTGAATTTGCTTTTCGTATTCTTATTCAGAACTCACTCTGCAGTTCCATATGAATGACGATAACGAAATTATGTTTTACAGTCCACACTAAAATAGTCACCTGATTTGCACATCCTGACACTGCTCATCGTTCGGATGAATCTTTGAAAAGGTTAAAACAAGTCAGAATTCCTATAGAGTAGCAATCACTGTCGTTCTGTAGGCTTGAAAACACCGTAATAATGACACAGCTGTAGCCGGACATGAGAGGTGCGATTCATCTCCGATGCAATAGAATGCTCTAAGTCGCGCGCGTGATCCAGAGGAATTTTGTTCTCTTTTTTTTTTTTCAATTCTAGGTCGTAGAAATGAAAAAGTGACAAATTATGGCTACACTGTTCATGAGGTTATGAAAGAGTGGAAGTTAGTGCCGGGCTTCTCAGATCGTTCGTCGTGCAAGGATTAATAATAGCCGTAGCAATAGTGGTATGAGTGTGAATATTTTTAATCAGAAATGAAAAAAGTGAATTCAAGTGAGATTACGATTGATGATCGTATTGAGCAAAGTAATTAACGAGTCGATGCCCAATAAATAACCGTCATCAGGCCCTGAGTAGCGTTGATCATCGAGAAAGCCGTTGAAAGTGGAATGTGCAAAATCGATCATGCGAATATCAATGCAACGATCGTCAACGTCATTATCGCATTTCGCATCGTATGCGATCAGCAACGAACTTGAAAAGAATCTGAAGCCATCTGCATCAACCAGTAACTGCAATAATTTGCAATTACTAAATGTAAACAGCATTCTCAAATCATCAACAACAAATAATTATCCTTCACCTTTCTCAAATGATCCAGTTTTTTAAGGGAAGTGATCGTTCGATGTCTGCCTGCTTTGATAAAATATTCACTTAAAGTTTCTCGAAATGCATCACAATCCATCTGTCTTCCATCATATTTATTCACATAAAAATATGTGCCTGTTTCTTCTCTGAAAAAAAAAACGAAAAATTGTTAACGTATATGCACAACGTCACTCCTTCAATTCCTTTCGCAATCTACGATATTCAAATGACTGCTAATGAACTAAATTGGCAAATAAAAATTCTAATAAATAGCGATAAAATGTTGAAGAATAGATTGTAAGAAATTAGATGTTAAAAGAAGATTTCTCCCATGGAACGAGGGCTGCAGTCTGAGCCGAATATTAGGATAGATTTTTCTGTTAATTTTTCCGTGCTCTCCTTTTTTTCTCCAATTCCTTTCCTCTCTTCTCAGAGGGAGGGGGCGCTGCCCATCCTTTGGCTACGCCCTAGCAACATTCGTGCAAAGCAATGAACATACTTATACAACTGCATTCCAACAAGTCTGACACCCATCTGTGCACTAGTTGATGTTCTGCATTTATAAGTCTGTGATGCACGTTTCTGAGCACTCGCATCGTCGCCGTACTGTCTTGTACCCATTTTAAGATCAATTATACACGGACGTGAATACTGAGCCACTACATTTTCCAATAGAACAAACCAAGCATAACCCTTCAATCATGTTTAAATATAATTAAACTACCTCGCACCTTAATCAATCCCTTTCCTGAAAAATTTTAAAATGCTAACAGCCCACTCAGTGCATCCCTTTCTCTCAGTTACATCCGACCCAGAAAAATCACATAGTCGATTCGTGCATAAGTCTATGTTTTTGCTCAAATTAGATAAAAACGGTTCTCCAAACTAATTTAAAAGAAATCGGTTCTCCAAACTAATTCAAAAGAATGCTGATTTTTATCATTCAGTCGCCCAATTTGCGTATCCGGTAACCTCCAGCCTGCCGTAAAAATCTGGCGGGCACAGAAGTTGTTACGATTGACATATAGATCCCCTCCCTCTTTCCAGAAAACCACTTGCCTCTAGTTGCTCATAAAAGGTATATTTCTCCATCTATGTACTGCACATATGACACTTTCTTCATGTTTCATTCCTGTATATAATATCATCAATATTGATGCTATGAATTCAGTGGAGCCAATATATTTATTCATTATGTCGCTTACTTATTGCTGTTCAGTTTGTGCAGTGCTTTTACTTATACTTTGAATGGACATTCATAAAGGTAATGCTAAGAGTTAACAAGTCGATTTCAAGTTAACATCAATATCAGTGTTAATAGTAATACCTTCAAGAGTTTTTGTACCACCTTACTTTGACATTGTCTCGCCCATGCGTTATCATATTTATCAGCTTCAACTCGACCAGCTTTACTCAGTCGAAATACCACATCAACATTATGAATTGATCTCGAATGACAAGGTATATTAACATCTGTTCTTAATGCTAAACTACCATCCACACAACCTTTTAATGATATACTTATGCTACCTAAAAATTTCATTATTCCTTCTTCACTTCAGCTATACACTATATCATTTCATTTGCACACAAAAATAAACCTTTACTTCTTTAATCATAATACCTTATTGTTTTAGAAGAAATCACATTTCTTCTTTATGTTACAAGAACTGATCTATTTCTACTGGAAGTTTTATGCGGTAGACAAAAAATAATTGAACTGGTATTGTTCTTCTAGAATCGTGCTTATAATGATGCTAGAAGTAAGAAGTCAAATTTGATCCAAGGTGATTGAAGAGCGATTTGGAAAATGCGCCAGCAAGAAGCGTTGATTAAAAGCAGCAGTCAGTCAATAATCGATCGAAAGTGAAACTACCAACCACAACATTTCGCTGTATAAGGTGCGAAACGTTCACCGATCTCTTCATAAAACGCTATTTCACGTGTATTCAACGGCTTACAAACATGTCCACCACAAACAAAAAGTCCGAAGTGACCACCCACTTGATGCAGAAAGCCGCCAACATTCATCTGTAAATGATCAGAAAAGTAGAAAACAATTCATTTATTTCAGTCATATTCGCATTTTCATTTATCCAATGCAACAATATTGCAATCGCAAGTGACATGTTGAACTCTATCTATCAAAAAATTAAACTGTTCTTGCTAGTCATCTACAGAGAATTAAAACGCATCCATAGCAAACCAACAAACAGAATCGATTCTATAATAATAATGACATAAATAATTATTTCAATACAAAAAATTGCTAGTGCAATGCAACGACAATAATCGATTCAAACGCAAGCAACCACTGGCTATAAGCTTGTCTCGTTTTTGTGTGAATGAGAAGTTTAAGTTACATTTGCCGAATATATTTATACACACGAATGTATATATAGTTGTTGCGTTATAAATTCAAAGTGAATGTTCAGTGTTAGAATTTGTTGTTCGCTCATATTAGCTGTAATAGTGCTGATGGTTCGATGATCACTATCATGTGGCTCTCTTTATGACTATGTGATTATTTTCGTTGATGACAAACTTTTAGTAATATTACACATTTCAAACTATTTATTGTTGCTATATGATAATAATAAAATTCTCTACTGCAACTTTGAGCAAACATATGTCATGCTTCCTCTTATCAAGCATTAGAGCATTTTAGGAGACAGAGTCGGGGGATATGTTTTGTCGTGTGCTTAAAAATTCGATAAGGATGGGTAATGTAGGGTTGAGGCTATGGAAGATTTTAAGTTTAAGTTCAAAGTTGCTGCTTCTTTTAGATTTGAATGAAAAGCTCAGTGCCAAATGTTCATCTCGTCCAATATATACGATAGGGCAAATCGAAAGAATATGCGGAGTTTTTGAGGTGAAGTGTTCAATTTGTTCATTAATAATACTGGTGATAATTCGATGCATCTTTCATTGATTCACGCCAACGGAACGCAGTAAGTCGAGCAGAAGATCATTTTGTAAGAGCATATGTATTTATGAACATTACCAGAAGCTTGCTGGATGTAACAAACAAATATGTGTCACGTTCATCTGCCCTTAACACTTTATAGAGTTCATCTACAGCTTTGTCTGTTGCCAGAGCCGAGTCGCTTTAGAAGATGCTGCAACTTAGACGCAGACTGGATCAGATTCTACACTAAAGCAACTCTCACATTAGCCGATCAGTTAACGAAATGAGTTTTTAAATTAAGCCAACTTAGGGAAAGGAAACTGAAATGTAAGAGAAGCGTTCATTGATTACTGTATTTTTTCGTCGGTTAATTCTTAAACTTCGATGGTTACCGTATCGCTGCGTAGATGAAGTACCTTGATTACTTATAATTTCATTATGTTTCTGCGTTTGCATCATAGAATTTTGGCGAAACACCTCATCTTTACAGACGCTTCTGATAGTATTGTGTGTACGAAAGTGATACTGCAAATGAATGAACAATGCAATCGGACGTTCTTAAGTCACTACACCTTGGAACGTTTTCACATAGACTCACTTCATGAATTGCCACTTCGACTTTTAGTGAGCAAAACAGATCGATCGACAAAGAGGAAGTGCACGCGTTAACAAAGCCTCTTTTATAGACCAAATACATTAGAAACTTAAACTTTTAAAGCGAATATTACCACACTTAATCATACTACGAACAATGAATATAAAAATTCAAGTAGAAATAAGTCCTATGATTTCAAGAATGGAGAGAGTTAGTTTTGAAGATGCAATTTGTATATATTAATTGTCAGTAACATTGGATGAGAAGGAAGCAGATAACGTACACAGAAGAACACTTTATTGCTGGGCGTCCCTTGAGATATTTGGCAAATTTTTCCGATTTGTGATTTTTTGAAGTTGTTCGATTTTAGTTAAATTTTATTCGTTTTTAATGCAGTATGGTTTCTGGCCACTGATTTGACAACTATATAAACCTCTTCACATACAATCAAATAAAGGAAACGAATCTATTAGAATGAGATAAAAAGTGCATTCGGTAATCGATAAGTTGGATGAACGAAATTATCATCGAGAAATGTATAGAAAGGTAAATACCTTAAATGGAGAAATATTAAACAAGAGGTTATGCATATAGGCTGAAACTACATGAGAGTTAAATGGATTAAGAAATGCACGCTAGATTTCTCGAGTGTTCCACTGGCACAGACCAAAAGGTTGTGGCCTTCGGATTTCACCCACTGGAAATGGTCACTTCGAAAGCGGTATTTCTCAGCCAAGAAATTCCCCTTCGAAACTTATCTCGCTAGTAATTCAAGTGTTCTTATGTATGTTGTTTGTGTACATGAGAGAAGTGAGCATACACACTCATTGGTAATGCGTAGACATGTGCATTCATTGGAGAATGATGAATAAAGAGAAATGAATAGACGTTGCGTACAATTGATTAGCGGATTTAGACGGATAAAGAGTGTTGAATGAGAGTCGATTGAATGTCTAATATCGATGTCAATACATTCATTCTCCATTACATTATCCAACTACAGGTATACCTCACCTTACGTCGGTAGATGCTTGCAGCTAAGTTACTTATTAAACCATGAATGACCATTCCCAGTTCTGTGTTTTATTTATAAATGCTTTTTAATAATATACCGTTAATAAGAATTTTTTAATATAGTAAAATATAGTACAGTACGAAGCGACATATAATCGGAACGAATTAACTCGAAACGACACAACCCGAGGTATACCTGTATATGTGGTCTATTCAGACGGAGTTTATAAGTTAATTAATTTCTTGCTCAAATATTTTGCATCCAATCTCGCANNTTGTTCATTTCGTTGTTTTCTTGTTCATATTTCAATTTACATTCTACTTTTGATGCTTTCTGAACTGGACATCCACAGCAAGAAATGATCATTTATAATTATTAGCGTTGTTATTTTTGAGGTGGGCAACGTTAATCAAACTGTTAACGACGACACTCGATAATCTGTCTACCAAAAAGTTATCGTTAGCAATGCTAAGTCGTTGAACCGAAGTGAGGAATATTGATCATTACTCTACTCATTACTTTGCGACTGAAATTTTTAGATTGAATAGAAATTACTGGAGCTGATTCCCATGTGATAACATGTTTTCGGTATGTATTAATTCGAAAGAATGCCTCATCATTGGATTGTTTCATCCGCAGTAAATAATACGCTTTTAAATGCTTCATGTAACGTTATTTCAAAATTCTCTGAAACACCCACAGAACCAACATGCCCGGAAAAAACCAATACGAGCACACAATAATCGCACCCCTCCCATGTTTCCTACACTCACTAAGGATGATAGTTCAAAGTTTTAGAAACACTGCTTTAATTCATTAATGCAGGCACCTCTTTCTAGTCGACTAAATTGGAGCAGTTTTGAATCGAGTGTTTAGGAAGGTCAAAGTAAATGTGAACAATCGACAGATTAATTCACCAACAAAATTACAAGCTGTTATAATGTTAGCACGACATGTTTTTAAAATTATTCAACTGTATTCCAGTTTCCTCTGTATTCCAATAAATTGTGAGCACTTTATTGTTACGCTGCAAGAAAATTTTTGAGGCATATATCTGTGATTTGCTGAGGACGTATTCATTATAGGAAGTATGATATTCATTTGTTGAGAGAGTTTGTTATTGGAAGTCGGCTCAAGGGAGCGCTTCATTTGACGTGAACGTCAGTGCCGTTTCGTTCGTAAAAAGCAAGCATTGTTGGTTTGTGCATGTAAAAGTAATAAATGAAAATTATAGATATGGAAGCAAGCCGGAAATAAGTGCAGACTTGAAATGCTTGTCGGTGATGGGATCAATAAGAGGATCGTATGTTGATGTGTTAATTGATGGCGAATGGCATCGTTTATGCGCAAGTCTCGATGAGACAGCACTAACATTAAGTGTTAATAATAATTCAGATATTATTGATAGTCAAATTAATTCTGAGATACGTATTGTACGTATTGTTAAACATGATGGTAACGGACTTGGTATATCGATCAAAGGGGGACGTGACAATAATATGCCTATACTTATTAGGTTACTTCTATTCTTCATTTTAATTCCATTCTGTCGTGTTTCATTCGGCTATAATACAATCGGTTTCAGTAAGATTTTCAAAGGAATGGCAGCTGATTTAACAGGTCAGTTGTTTGTTGGAGATGCGATAGTAGCGGTGAATGGTGAATCTTTGTGTGATGCATCCCATGATGAGGCTGTTAGAGCACTGAAGAAAGCGGGTCGAGTTGTTGACTTACATGGTATTTGCATCTTTATCTATTTTGATTTATTATTGAAAGAAGCGAGTTCTTACAGTCTTGAAGACTCTTGATTCTGAATGAACGACTCTTCGATACAAACAGTTATAAGTGTTTTATTGTAGTGCAATTCATGCGTGATATGTGTGGGCGCCGAGATAATATTGTTGAACGGATCGAATGGGATGAAGAGTGTCATGATAGAATGCGAACGATTGGTTTGAAGTTAGCGTATATCACAAGAACGAGTTTACAGCATGAGGATGTCGAAAATAGAATGTTTGAAATGCGATCACCATCCGGTCGATATGTTATCACATTCAGGTGCTTCTTTATCATTTTCAGATGAATTGCTTCTTCATTCCGAAATATCACTTCAGCATTCATTAATCATTTCATCTTCAAATTTGAGTAATTGCCATTAAATGAGGTGTATATTTGAATGCTGTTCCCATTGTGGCTGATTACTTGAATGAAGGCTCAAGTATAAATATGAAGTGTTCAGATGTAATAATTCGGTGGAGGCGGACGCATGGTTCGAGAGTATTCACGCATGTGCGAGTGCATTATTAACACAAGCGTTAGCACAGGTCAATCTTATGCTAGGTCAAAACCCTCAAGTGCGACGAATGGGCTGGGTTTCTGAACAGGTTCGTTCCATTTTCGCTGACACGATACTATCATTTGCTCACAGTTGTCATCTTTCCAGGCAAGTATTGAGTATATTAAAGATTCCTTGTATTGTCCACTCTGATTTGTGATGAAGTGGAACTGATTCATTTGAAATTTCCAGTTGAACGACTAATGAATAGCTGGTGCATTTAAGGTGATTAATGAAAGTGGTTTGATAGGTTGGAAACCCTTATTTGCGGCGTTAACCTTGAACGATTTGTTATTCTACGATTCGGTACCGTTGTTAAAATCTGAATGGGCATGTCCTGGTGTTACACGACCTCTTATTGCAACTCGTGTCGTTCAAACTACATCCAGGTGGAGTTCGTCTCATTTAGAGTAATTCAGGTGGCATAACATGTGAATTTAGGACAGCGCCGGTGATAACGGGTCTGTCGGATGTGATCTCATTCACGACACGAACTGGCACACAACAAGGTGTACGCTCACACGTATTTCGTCTCGAAACACATCGTGAATTGGCTTCATGGGTTAAAAGCATCGTTAAATGCACATACGAAGCGTGTGCAGATACTGCTCAAGTATCTTGCCGTTAGTAACATATTAATGAACCTTTTTTACATCATTACCCAGCTGTTCTACAGTTTACAGTTGATTCGCACATTCGCTCATAGCTTGTTGTTATTGATAAGCGTTAGTATTGCAGAGGTACTTCATGAAACAGTAAGTTAGTGCATATTTGAATGCAGCAAATCGAATGTTGTCTAACCAGTTGAATTCAGCGTGTTCGTGGCATGATGAGCAATGTGAACTGGTGCTCCAACTTGACAAAGGTATTAGTTTGATTGGTGAGGATGGTCAAATTCGATGGCAATATCCGTTTGAAGCAATTCGTGCGACTGGC